ATGATGTGCTATTTAAAATGTGAAAAAGTGCGCGAAAGTGCAACGAAGAGCAACAGGTGTAGCGTTCGTCGTCGCAGCGGCGATTTTCTCAGTGCGTGAAGTTGACTGCGAAAATTTAAAAATTCACCCCAAGTTCGTCCGCGCGCCAATAGCGAATTCGATCACTCGCAGGATTGAGAAAGTTACTTTTGTAATTATTTACTTAATTATTTTTTAAAAAATAATTCCTTATCTTTTTCATGATTGAAAAAGTATATAATAAATTGTTAGAATTACCATTATTTTTTCACCAAATTTTAAAGATGCCATTAATAGCGAAATGTCGGAAAAGTTATATAATTATTTTTTTTTCACATCAATTGTTTCGATATAATAGAACTCGCATTGCGTATCGAGAGTGTCACATGAACATTGTATTTTAGTGATTAGTGTGCGCACGTAATTAATTATTTTTGTGAACAGGTGTGAGTGCAACGGAGGAAATCTGAGAGGAGGAGGAGGAGGCCTAGGAGGTATTCGGTGACGGCGGAACAATCATGAAGTAAGTAATTATTTATTATTAATTATCTATCTTTTGGTTTTCGTTTACTGCGTTTATTTCAATAGTTTGAACAAGAATTGGAGAAAAATCAATTATAAAGTTTTGCAAGAAATCATAAAGTTTGAAAAAAATTTTCTTCAAAATTTTCTTCGAATTTTCTTCTTCGGAATTGTATAAGTAAAAAGATATTTAAGTAAAAACGAAAACCATTGAGAAAATTTGTTGTGTGCGATAGTAATTTTTTAATATCAAATTTCGCTGTAATAATTTGACTATGTTCGTATTTTACAATTCAACATTATTGCAACATTATTGTAGTTATTTATTCCGTTGATGCGTATCGTGCTGAGAGAGATTGATACGAGAATTTATCTTTTATTTTATATTGAGATAACGAATCTATGATATATGTGTGTATGTAATTCATATCAGATATAGATACATGATGTATCTAGACAAATATATATGTACAAGGTTAACAACTTAAAAATATCCCATAGATCTATCGTTCTAAAATAGATGATTTAGAATAGATTAGAAATAATATTTAATCCTGGAATATCTTCTACACATACAATTTTCGAAAATATATTTAAAAATATATTCAAGAATGTATAAAAGAATAAAATATATTAGTAACGTCATTTTTATGCAATTTTTTATTATCAAATACATTGTAATTAAATTTCTCACTTAATTATTTAAATAAACAGTAAGAAAAACAAGGAATAAAGAAAGAAAGAAATAAAATAAAGCTATAACAAATATATGCGGTGCATTTTATTTATAAAATACAAAATTTTTAATTTAATTTCGTTTTTCTCATTCAATTTAAGTTTCTTATTCATACTTCATAGAAAATATGTATTATATTTATTATATTTATTTACATAAAATAAAATTAATCATTAGAACATAAAAAAATTGTTACTATTTTGACATATCTTTTTATTTTTCTCACTTCCCTTTTTTCTCCATTAAAATATTGTTTTAATATTATTTCAATTTGCGATTCTTATCTTTTTCCAGAATTAAATGTTATATTAAATGTTATATGCAAAAATGTGCGCGATATTTAAAGAATCTTCCAATATGTATATTTATAGCATTAAAATAAAAAGATTAAATGTTTTTTAGACATTCAATATATTTCGTGGAATAATTTCATAAAAATTTAATAAAAGTTTTATGGTGATTTAATTTTATTAAAATCGAATGAAAATTTTCCATTAAATTTTATTTAACAAAACAACTTTAATGATTATTGATTGTACTCATAACGTACCAATTATATCATTTTAATCTTTCGCAATCTATATATTTATTAACGACTCGATTTAAAACAAACTTAAAACAACTTCTAGTAAACATCTTATCGCGGAACAGAATAATTTTTTATATAAATTATCTCATCGTTCTTATATGTAGCTATAATATGCAATATATAATCTTGCAACAATTATTAATCGGTAATATTTGCAATTCCTCCTGATCTATCATGTGTCTTTCCTCGACACTTGTATCGATCGCTTGAGCTATCACTATCCACCGTTTACGAGACCCTAATAACCATAACTCGTATCGTCCCGCGACGATTACAATTTTCCCTGCCGTATCTGCCGCAATTATGGCAACTAATTTAATGCTTCCGGCGCGCCCGACGAATATAGGTATCGGGCTGGATCGACGAAGATCGCGCTAATCTTTCTGTTATCGGAAATTGTAATTCAGTTGCGACTAGAAAGAGAAAGAGGGAAGGAGAGAGCGGTGAGAATGTAATTTTGATGATCGAAATTTCATGTCTTTTCATCATACGGGGGTATCAAATTCATTTTTCATAAAAGCGACGTTCTAATCCGCCTGTTCATAAAGAGATAAGGAAAGCGGCGTTTTTTTTTTTTTTTTCTATTGACCGTCCACTGAAGAGGCGATAGATATGATAAAACCATGCAGATAAGATAGACCGATAACAGTGCCGCGTTTGATCTTTTCTTGCGATTTTTTTTTCATTCAGAAAGTAAACTTCGCTTTCTTTTGCCGCTCGATTTAAATATAGAACACAATTTCTATCGTTTAATTTTATAAAAACGAAGAAACAAATCGAAATGATATATTTTTTCAACGTATTTCCAAAAATCCTCAATTCTTAATTTAATTATTTCAATTTTTATTTGTTTCAAAAGTACTTTTAATATAAATTTACAATTTGCTATCTGTTTTTCAAATCGGTATTTAAATCAAATATATTTTACAGTCATTCTTTTCTAAAAATTGCTTTTTTTAAGAATCTTGGGTATAGGAATGTAGGAGTGACGGACTTAATTTTATTTTTTCATAAAAATTTTTTTTCTGGGGGTAAAGAAGTATAATCGCATATCATATCTGATTATCTAAAAAAGAAAAATTTATTAAATTTATTAAATTTAGCTCTGACTTTGAATCGTTATATTGCAAATATATTAAAAATAAACGGACACGTAATTGGCAACGTGAATAAGCATTTATTTATTTTAAATTTATACATATATAAATTTGATAAGAAAAATAAAATATATAGGCGCCTAAGATGCTGCCTCTCGAGATAATTCATTAGTACTATCGTTTATTACAAGTAAATGTTAATACTACAAGCTACTCGAGCAGATCTCACGCGGTGACTCGTGATCGCGGGTGCCGGCGGCAAAAATCAGTCACGGACGCGGGGGATACACCATCCGATGGCCTAGGACATTCCGGATGAGTGCGAGAGAAAACGATCGGCGATGTCACGCCGTCGGCATTAGCGCGCATGTGCGCGGGTTACACTTGACGGGCTCAAAAAATCAATGACCTCGCCGCCGCTCACCGCGATCTCGCAAGACCGGGTACGTCGCCGCTGCTTCATCGTCGATCATCGCGTCGGGGCTGAAGCGCGAACCGAAATCCGTTGATTGCTGAACGCTGTCGTCGCGACGTCGGGCACGGCAGCGTCGCGCACGCGACGCGACGCGACGCGCATCCGCGAGCCGATCGCACGCGTTGTCTACGAGCCAGGCTAGAGGGTTGCGACGGGGGACTGAGGAAGAGGGAGGGGAAAGTGCGAGAACGCGGAGAGAGGAGAAGAGAAAATGGCCGCGCGGCGCGGCGAGAGCGAGGGTGCAGCTCGGGTGGCGGCGCTAGTGTAAGACGGCCGAATAGCGGTACGCGCTGAAACCAGCCGGGCGACCTCCGCCGCTCCAGCGCTGCCGTTCGGCGCTCAGTTCGTGTCCTCTCGCTGCACACGACGGTTGCGCGAGCGTCGGCGTTTCGCCCCTACGTTCGCGTCTCGCGGAGCAGAAACTGAACAAAAAGAAAAGAAATCAAAGAGAGAAGAAAGACAGAAGGGAGGGACCGGACGGACTGTGTCTCGCGCGGGGAAGAAGAACGCGTAGTGCGACTAGATAAATAAACGCCGGGGGAGAAACGGTGTCTGTCTCTGTTTTCCTTTCGGAGTAAGGAACGCGAGACGCTCCGAAAGTGTCCCGCGCGGTTGGCCCGTCGCGTCGCCGGTCGCCCTCGCGACGCAGTGAAGTAGTCTGCAGTGTGAAAGTGGTGATAATCCAGTGCGCGTCGAACGTCGAGATATATTCGCCCGTGTTGTCCGCGACGCGGACTATCTGCTCCGGCGAGTCTCTCCTCGGGCAGATCGTACGCACGTACGGCGCAGCGATTCGCGACTCGCGTCGGTACCAAGTGGCGTGCAAGGGGGAGAGAGAGAGAGAGAGAGGAGGAGAGAAAGAAGAGAAGAG